TACTGATGTTTCAGTAAAATAAAACAGTGATTTATAAAAACACAATGAAAAACATGGTGATGATTTTCCGTGCTTCATTAGTCTATTTTAGGCACGATAAAATAATAGAAGTGATTCTATATTCTTTGTGACATGTCATTATTATAATTAACAGATGCGTAAACATTCTTAGTTAAACAATAATGAATCATGAACAGAAAAGATTGTTTCTGTTAATATCTGATTAAGAGAACTGAAGTCCTCGTTGTAGGTTGAAGTGACCCATCATGGCCTAAAATAAGAGTTCAGCAGTTCCTGCCAGTTTGTGTGCTCTCAGGCCTGTGCGAGACCTGCTTTGAGGCTGTGACTCCTGTTTCTTCACTCGAGGTGACCCCTACAAAATGTTTTTTTTTCAGCCCTCATTTGTGGCACCTTCTAGATGGATGGCACCTTTAGCATCTGGCTGTGTTGCCCGTGCCACGGGACAACCCTGCCACCACACATCAAACAACTTGCACAATCTCTTAGTGCTCAGAATATGTGTTGGGTATGACTCCCGGCTACTACCACACCAAATCTGATCTCAGTATCTGTAAAACTGACAGAGTTAAAGGCAATTTGTTATGTTTGCTAATATCAGTTAGCGGTGGTGGTCATCTTGAATAGATGTAATGAGCTGAATCAACTTCAGCAAACACAAACGTGGTCAAACCTCAGTCAGTTTCACAGACACTGAGCTAAACTTTGGTGTGGTAGTAGCTAAAGATCACCCCCAACACACAGTCCAAGCACTACACATTACCTGTTGGTGTCAAGTCAGTCTTTTAGCAAAATAACGTGAACTAATGGATAGATTTTAATGAAACTCTCAGACTCGTACACTGATAAACTTTTTGAGTCACACTTGTTCAAATTTAAAATAACCCATTAAAGACTGAGGGTGATGTGGATAAAAATAATTGGAGCACATAATAAACTTTTTAAAATGATTATGCTCTCGCTGGGAGGATGTTAGGTAACTAAAATAATTGTTGATTTATTTGTAAAATAATTACCGTCTTCACAAAACCTTTTCTGCCGTTTCTGTGATGAGAAAGGCATCGTGGAACTAATTAAGTGTTGACTTAAGCTTCAGAACAAGTCCCTGGAATAGAACAGAGGAACAGAACTCACAGAGGTGTTTGGCTTTACTTAAAAAGAAACCTCTGTGTGTGCACGCYGTACGGTGTGCGTCTGAGCCGAGCGACTTCTCTCTTTGACATCCRCCGTTGTAACGGAGCTCTTCCCATTGTTCCGGAGCCGTGTTATTGTCGGCTGTGCACGACTCACATCCACCACCTCCCGTGTACCTCGCTCCCGTTGAACCGCAAGCCTGTCAACAGCCATTATTCTAAGCAAGACCTCTGCTGTGATCCCTGCCATGTTTCATCAAAGCGTAGCAATTTATTTTAAAGCTCAATGTCTGAACATGTTAGCTGCTGCTAAAATTACTGCGCGTGGGCGCTTGTGCGCGAGTCCGCTGCAATCCTTCTCTCGCTCCCAATGCTCGTCGTTCCGGTAGACGCTTCCTGGCAGAAGGAGCTGAGTGGACAAGTTTGCTTTTCTCTGGTGCTATTTCACAATGAAGTCTGAACTATTTGTGTGTTTATGTGTGCGTGTGTGTGTGTGTGTGGCTGAATAATTAACACTGTTCGTCACCTTGCTGCAACACATCCCTCACACACTGATCTGATTAATGGAGCCCAAGGAGATGTGGATTGCCTCTCAAGCCTGCAGGATGAGTAAGGTCATGTGTTTTTTTTTTCTTCTGCACACAGAAACAAGACTTTTTTTTTTCAGGTTTACATCAAGAGATATGAAAAACCACAAATTGAAAACATCATGAGTTTGGTCACAGATTTGTGAATGCAGTTAAAATCCTGCAAATTATTTCATTCTGAACCAAAGTGAGCATTATCAGAATTATAAAGTTCCATTATTAAATTTATTAATACATCATCGTTGTTTATCTCTTTTTTTCCGTTCAGAAAATCCGGCTTCCTTGTAATCTTTCAAACTGATTGAAAACAGGTTCTTCAAACTTTCTGGATCTCTTTCAATGTTTTTCTTTGGACTTTGGGTGGGATGCTCTTCTATTAGGTGCCAAGTGTAAAATAAAATGGTAAAATGTCAATAAACCATTTAATTTAGCTCACAGCTAGCGGTGGTAGCGATTAACGTTGACGTTTCTGGCTAGCTAACCACTTCTAAAGCTGCTGAAGATCGTATTTAAAATGTGTTCATTGGAAAAAAAAAACTATGAGCTAAATAACAATAAAATGTTAGTGGATGTTTGTTTATTTATTTATTTATTTATTTATTTATTTATTTATTTATTTATTTATTTATTTGGCTAGGAATGCAGAAAATGGGCTAAATAATGAAAATGTATCAGTGATCATTTTTTAACTTTTTATTTTTGGTGCCCCATACGTTTTTGCTCATTTCTTGTCTGATACTTAACTAATTTTATTGGTTTGTTCGTTAAACTATTTAACTCTGACATACGTGTCCTTCAGATTTAAAAAATGGCGCCTAAACTTGATGGATGATCTAGCGTTATGTCGACGTATCGGTCAGTTTAGCAAAGAACCAGTTTGAAGTTAGATCTTTAAAGACACTGTTACAAACAGCCTATCACATTTATGTAGTATGTTCTTGTTTTTTTAGTTGAATCTATAAAATATAACAAAGATAATATAAATTAACAAACATAAAAGCAATAGTAGGATGATTTCTAAACAAAACTTCATGAACAACAGAAGGATAATGCAGCTCATTCTTTCTTCTTTTGTCTAATTTGTCTATTTTTACTGCACAGACACAAGGACTGGACAGATAATGAGTGAAAAGGGATCTGAAATTTAAAGAAAAAAGCCTACAAACATTTTTGCTTAAGACCATTTTACAAGATTATGGTCTGGTGTCTTTGGGAGCAAAGATATTAATGGTGTTTTAAACATTTCTGTATTTAAAAAAAAGGATCCAAAATCAGAAACTACGTAACTCCAGCCAATGTGAAAAGAGACTCGAAGAGAAAGAAAACCTGCAGTCATTTGTACAAATATTGTATAAAATTATAGTGTTTCTTTTAAAGAATAGAATAATATCTAACAGAACCTGTGGAAAAAAACAGAATTAAACAAAACTCTAACTCCAGTGGTCAAACAGGAAGAAAAGAGACAACTTATCTAAGCCTCTGTGTTTTTCTTAACAGTGCACAGCTTTAATAGATTCACTCTTAAAACCAAGAATATAACTGTTTCAAAGTAAAGTATCTTCAAAAATCTAACTTTTTTTGAACATGACATCAAACTCTAGTTGGTCTCTAAAGAAATAAAATATGCAGGAAAAGAAACACAAAAAGAAACTTGAACATACACAGTGAAGAGACGCTTTAAAAAAAAGGAAAACTTTGAGTATCATAAATTCTGCCCAGCACCGTCTCCTCCACGCTAAGTACCATCAAAATAAAGGAAGACTAGCAGAGCCAGATGAGTGTTTTTTTATTTCCTTTCTCTCTGCTACTGCTGGATTTCTGCACAATTACTGCCCACTCACAGTGTGTTTTGAAATAAATGTTGAAGTATTTTAAACTCTAAAATGAAATGTGAAGTGGTGTTTGTTTGCATGAGATTTATTCTCGTTGTCTCAGCTTTACAAAATGTGTGTAAGGGTGTGACTCTGACTCAGATTTAAGCTATTTGTTTCAGACTATCGAGAAGGGGGTCTCTGCAGTCACTGTTTATTTTTATTTTATTTGGCTGTATTTATACAGGAAAATATCTTGAGACTTGTCTCAGTTACAAGAGAGACCTGTAGTTAATGTGTGGGAGGAGTTTGTCAAAGATTGGTCAGATTGACTATTATGGGAGGGGTTTGAAGAAGATGGGGGCATGCTGAGGGGTATGTGGCTCAGTGGAAACAGCCAGGAAGCAACTGTTTTAAATATATTCATTTTAGTCATAACTCGAGACAGGAAGGCACTAGTTGCATGAAATTTGGATGCTGTACATGTGGAGGAACGTAATTCAACTCAGTTAAAACAACCCTATTTATATTATTAAACTCCAGACAGGACAGTGAATAAATTGTTTACCTGTTCACAATCATTTTTATTTGAGACATTGTTCTGTTTTAAAC